TATATATATATTTATATATAATGCAGTTGCTACCCCAGCAATCATCTAAACTAGTGACAAGACACATCTGAACATGAAAACAGGGATCTTTCTAAATGCAGCGTGCTATGTCAGTTACCTCATTTCCAATCAGTTGAGCACACACCAGACGGAACAGTGGAATTAGCGCCCACTGAAAGGGTGCCTGAAGCTTGTTAACACAACTTTGAACATTATTGAATTCCATCGGATACACAGCTCCATCAAAAATCAAAACGTTTTGTAAGTAATAGGCAGTCTTTTCTGGTTTTTGTTTTCATTATTACTATTATTATGATAGCATCATGAAAACGTAACCTTGTTTGAGCTGACGAGTGCTCCGCTTGCCCTCAAATCCTGACTTCAGCAGTGATCAGCAGCAGGAATTTATGGCAAACAGGAAGAAGTATGAAGGATTTCTTCTTTGCCTTCCCAGTTACCAGCAATAAACTGGCTTTCTGAGCTGGACCCTCCATCAAACCCGCAGTGGTTGCTAGCTGCTGAGTGGAGAGAGAGACCCAGCTGTCATAAGCTTGATCTCGGTGACGTCTTATAGCTATACATTTCACATTTTAATGACACAATGAGTGAAAGGTATTTCCTTTTGTTTGCTTTAAATGTGTTTATATGGTTAAGCCTGTACCTCCTTAGATAGGAAAAAGCAGAGAATAATGCATCCCTCTTTCCATCCGTTACACCATTTATGATTATATAGACTTGACAAGTCCGCTCCTCCAACCTATTTTCTAAATGACGAATCCTAACCTATTTAATCTTATCACATATAAAACCATGCCGCATCTCTGGTCACCTGTGCTTTCTTGCTCTCTTCTGGTTCTATGTTGTCATTTTTTTATTCGGTGAGGCTAAAACTACATGTGATATTCGAGACATGAGAACAACATGGATCTTTTACAGCAGCATAAAAACGTGTCTGCTTTATATTTTGTTATTACAGGGATCAGCCCTTGAGTCCTTTTTAAAGACTGTGACACAGTTACAACATTTCTTCTGGCATCAAGGCTGACAGAAGTGACAGGTTGTATGTTACAGTAGTTAGTTCAGAAATGTCGTAGTTGAGTTCCTTTAAAACGCTTTTTTGGGTGAACATCACCTTATGGCAATTCTCGTTGTTTGACATTATTTACATCTTCTAAAACACCTTCAGATGATGATAGACACTGAGAAACTTCCTCAGATTGTGAGAATCTCTCTAACCTTCTTTGTTGTGAACATCAGTGAAAATAATTAATTAGATATTCGGTACTTTTATACCTTGATTGCCTATCTACCCAGTCATCTCTCTGG